CCACTGCTAATTTGATAGGGATTGCACTGAATCTGTAGATTGCCTTGGGCATTATAGTCATTTGGACAATGTTGATTCTTCCAATCCAAGAACACGGTATATCTTTCCATCTGTTTGGGTCATCTTCAATTTCTTTCATCAGTGTCTTATAGATTTCAGAGTACAGGTCTTTTGCCTCCTTAGGTTTATTCCTAGGTATTTTATTCTTTTTGATGAAATGGTAAGTGGGATAAGTGGGATTGTTTCCTTAGTTTCTCTTTCTTATCTTTCATTGTTAATGCATAGAAATGCAACAGATTTCTGTGTATTAATTTTGTATCTTGCAACTTTACCGAATACATTGATGAGCTCTAGTCGTTTTCTGGTAGCATCCTTAGGATTTTCTAGGTATTATAGTATCATGTCATCTGCAAACAGTGACAGTTTTACTCCTTTTTTTCCAGTTTGGATCCCCTTTATTTCTTTTTCTTCTCTGATAGCTGTGGTTAGGACTTGTAAAACTATGTTGAATAAAAGTGGTGAGACTGGACATCCTTGTCTTGTTCCTGATCTTACAGGAAATGCTTTCAGTTTTTCACCATTGAGAATGATGTTTGCTGTGTGTCTGTCATAAATGGCCTTTATTATGTTGAGGTAGGTTCCCTCTATGCCCAGTTTCTGGAGAGTTTTTTTGTTTGTTTTGTTTTGTTTTTTTGTGGTACGCAGGCCTCTCACTGTTGTGGCCTCTCCCGTTGCGGAGCACAGGCTCCGGACGCACAGGCTTGGTGGCCATGGTTCACGGGCCCAGCCGCTACACAGCATGTGGGATCTTCCCGGACCGGGGCACGAACCCGCGTCCCCTGCATCGGCAGGTAGACTCTCAACCACTGCGCCACCAGGGAAGCCCGGAGAGCTTTTTAATCATAAATGGATGTTGCATTTTACCAAAAGCTTTTTCTGCATCGGTTGAGATGATCATCTGGTTTTTTTTCTTCAATTTGTTAATGTGGTGTATCACACTGATTGATTCGTGGGTATTGAAAAATCCTTGTATCCCTGGGATAAATCCCACTTGATCATGGTGTATGATCCTTTTAATGTGTTGTTGAATTCAGTTTGTGGATTTTGTTGAGGATTTTTACTTCTATGCTCATCAGTGGTATTGGCCTATGATTTTCTTTTTCTGGTGGAATCTTTGTCTGATTTTGGTATTAGGGTGATGGTTGCCTCATAGAATGGGTTTGGAAGTGTTCCTTCCTCTGCAGTTCTTTGAAATAGTTTCAGAAGGATAGGTGTAAGTTACCTCTTCTCCAAATGTTTGGTAGAATTTGCCTGTGTAGCCATCTGGTCCTGGACTTTTGTTTGTTGGGAGTTCTTTAATCACAGATTCAATTTCAGTACTTGTAATTGGTCTGTTCATATTTTCTATTTCTTCCTGGTTCAGTCTTGGGAGAGTGTACCTTTCTAAGAATTTGTCCATTTCTTCCAGGTTGTCCATTTTATTGGCATAGAGTTGCTTGTAGTAGTCTCTTAGGATGCCTTTGTATTTCTGTGGTGTCTGTTGTAACTTCTCCATTTTCATTTCTAATTTTATTGATTTGGGTCCTAACCTTTTTCTTGATGAGTCTGGCTAAAGGTTTATCAATTTTATCTTTTCAAAGAACCAGCTTTGAGTTTTATTGATCTTTGTTATTGTTTCCTTCATTTCTTTTTCATTTATTTCTGATCTGATGTTTATGATTTTTTTCCTTCTGCTAACTTTGGGTTTTGTTTGTCCTTCTTTTTCTAGTTCCTTTAGGTGTAAGGTTAGATTGTTTGAGATTTTTCTTGTTTCTTGAGGTAAGACTGTATTGCTGCAAACTTCCCTCCTAGAACTGCTTTTGCTGTGTCCCACAGGTTTTGGATCATTTTCATTTGTCTAGGTATTTTTTGATTGCCTCTTTGATTTCTTCGGTGATCCATTGGTTATTTAGTAGCAGATTGTTTATCCTCCATGTGTTTGTGCATTTTTTTTCCTTCAAGTTAATTTCTAAACTCATAGTGCTGTGGTTGGAAAAGATGCTTCATTTGGTTTCAATTTTCTTAAACTTATCAAGACTTCCTTTGTGGCCCAGCATGTGATCTACTCTGGAGAATGCTGCATGTGCACTTGAGAAGAATGTTATGTTCTGCTCCTTTAGCATGGAATGTTCTTTAAGTATCAATTTAGTTCATCTGGTCTAATGTGTCATTTAAGGCCTGTGTTTCCTTATTGATTTTCTGTCTGGATGATCTATTGATTTAAGTGGAGTGTTAAAATCCCCCACTATTACTGTGTTACTGTCAATTTCTCCTATGTGTCTCAACATTTGCCATATATATTGAGGTGATCCTCTGTTGGGCGCATATATATTTACAATTGTTATATCTTCTTAGATTGATCCCTTGATCACTATGTAGTTTCCTTCCTTGTCTCTTGTAAGTCTTTAGTTTGTCTGATGTGAGTATTGCTACTCCAGCTTTCTTTTGATTTCCATTTTCATGGAATATCTTTTTCCATCCCCTCACTTTCAGTCTATATGTGTCCCTAGGTCTGAAGTGGGTCTCTTGTAGACAGCATATATACATGTCTTGTTTTTGTATCCATTCGGCCAGTCTGTGTCTTTTGGTGGGAGCATTTAATCCATTTACATTTAAGGTAATTATCAATATGTATGTTCTAATTGCCATTTTATTAATGTTTGGATTTGTTTTTGTAGGTCTTTTTTCTTCCTTTTTTGCTCTCGTGATTTGATGACTATCTTTAGTGTTGTCTTTGGATTCCTTTTGTGTGTGTGTATATCTATTATAGACTCGTTTGTGGTTACCGTAAGGTTTTGATATAGCAGTCTGTATGTATACATGATTGTTTAAGTTGCTGATCTCTTAATTTCAAGTGCATTTCAAGTATGCTGCATTCGTGCTCTCCTCGTCTCACAATTACTGATTTTGATATCATATTTGTGTGTGGATGATTTCCTGCCTTTATCAGTGAGCTTTCCCATTTCATACTTCTTTTTTTCTAGTTGTGGCCTTGTCTTTTCCACTTAGAGAAGTTTCTTTAGCATCTGTTGTAAAGCTGGTTTGGTGGTGCTGAATTCTTTTAGTGTCTTCTTGTCTGTAAAGCTTTTAATTTCTCCATCAGCTCTGAATGAGATCCTTGCTGGGTAGAGAAATCTTGGTTGTAGATTTTTCCCTTTCATCACTTTAAATATGCCCTGCCACTCCCTTCTGGCCTGCAGAGTTTCTGCTGAAGAAACACTGGTAATCTTATGGGGGGTTCCCTTGTATGTAATTTTTTGCTTTTCCCTTGTTGCTTTTAATATTTTCTCTTTGCTTTGTGTCTCAGCATGTTCCTCCTTGGGTTAGTCCTGTATGGGACTCTGCGCTTCCTGGACTTGGGTGGCTGTTATCTGTCTGCTGGGTGGGGCTGTGTTCCCGCCCTGTTGGTTGTTTGCCCTGAGGCATCCCAGTGCTGGAGCCTACAGGCTGTTTGGGGGACCAGGTCTTGGTGCCAAGGGCCCAAAATCTCTGCCTCCAGCCAGAGTTCACATAGGTCCCTGCTGTATCCATCACCAGCTTTTATGACCCCAGAAAGAGCCACAGCTGCCCCCCACCTTTGCAGGAGGCTCTCCAAGACCAGCAGGTAGGTCTGGCCCAAGCTCCTATGGAGTTACTCCTTTTGCCCTGGGTCCTGTTGCATACAAGACCTTGTGTGTGTGCTCCAAGAGTGGAGTCTCCGTTTCCCCCAGGACTGTGGGGTCCTGCACTCAAGCCCTGCTGGCCTTCAAAGGCAAATAAATACTCTGGGGGCTCCACCTCCCCATGCCAGGCCTCTAGGCTGGGGAGCCTGGCATGGGGCTCAGAGCTGTCTCTCTGGTGGGAGAGCTTTTGTGATATAATCATTCTCCAGTTTGTGGGTCACCCACCTGGGTCACATGGGATTTGATTATATCACGAGTGCACCCCTCCTACCATGTCTTGGTTTCTTCTTATGTCTTTGGATGCAGAATATCGTTTTTTTTGGTAGATTCCAGTCTTTTTTATCAATGGTTGTTTAGCAGTTAGTTGTGATTTTGGCATGCTTGTGAGAGGAGGTGAGCTCAAGGTCCTTTCACTCTGCCATCTTGTCTCCAACCAACATCAGGTTCTTGCAGAATAAAATAATTTGTGTTTTAACCATAAAGTTTGAACATCTAATAGGCAGCTTCATATTACCTGTTTGAATCTTGGAACACAAGTTTGATAATATAACCTCAAAGGAAAGTTGGAGAGATAAATATGGGAAAGAGCTCCTAAAGGGTGTCCATCTATCCAGGAAGTCAAAGTTTCTGCAAAACTTTCTAACACCTGCAGGCAAAACCTCACAAAAGGGTTCCAATCCTTCCACACAAGCCTGTTCTGGCTGACCACCTCCGTCCCTGAATGGAATAATGAACCTTTTTATAGATGAATTTATCCAAATTCTGTATCTGGTGGTAGCTAAGAATTATGTCTTGAGTGACACCTAATGGTTGAGAAAGTTACTCCCCCAACCATTTTCCGAATTACCTGGGTGCCTGTTAAAAATGCAGAGAAGTTCCTTGGCTGAGGAATCTGTACTTTTCAAAACTGCCCCAGGTGATTCACATGTATCCTTGAGTTTGAGAACCACTGGTTCAGGTGCTCCCAAGTCAGATATCCACACAGGGCTGGCAGACCTCATGACACTGCAGGAAGTTAGAAGGGGCCAAGCCAAAGGGATGGGTTAGGCCTGAGCTTTGTAACCACCTTCCTGAACACTCAAAGAGGGAAGGGGTGGTGTAAAGAGGATGGGGAACACAGAATCCCCAGGGATAAGGTCAGCTGCCCTCCTGGCAGTGAGGGCGGGGGTGGCAGTGGCCTGGGACCTTGAGAGGAGTGGCCCCTGGCCGCCTTCTCTCATTCCCAATGTGGAGGGAGGTTGCAGGAGTGTGAAAAGCATGTGCTGCACGGCTCTAACGCCTGTGCTTCCTGCCCCACAGACGATTCCAGCTCCTGGAGTTCTCCCGCTGCTGCCTCCCCAGGTCTGCCGGAAGTAGGCGCCTCCCTCGAGGACGTCCTCTCTCCATTTTCTCCATCACATCCAGCCCCACCATCCGACCCTAACAACCAGATAAGCCCAGACCCAACTTGGGATATCAAAAGGGAACACGACGTTAGGAAACCAAAGGAGCTTTCAGCCGGCAGCCAGAAGAAGCAGCGCCTCGGGGAGCAGAGTGAGCTTTCGGCAAGCCCGCAGCGGGCCGTGCAGCCGAGGCTCGCGGAGGTGCCTGGTGGCCAGGGGCAGCCTGAGGCCAGCAGGCCCTCCTCAGAGGCCAGGGCACCCGGGCCCACAGCAGTGGACGCAGCGCGGGCCAGCAGCAAGGAGGGGCTGCATGCAGCAGTGGGCCCCGAGCTCGGCCGGTGCGAAGGCCCTGGAGTGGCACCTGCGTTCATGGGCCCAGGCCGCGGCGGGGGTGTGCGCGAGGCCGAGGGCAGGGCAGGCACACGTGCGGGGCCCAGGCAGGGCACGCGGCCCCCGGGGGGAACCCCTGTGCGCAAGGCTGCTGTTGCGCCAGGGCCCTGGAAGGTGCCAGGCTCCGACAAGCTGCCGGGCATCCTCAAACCCGGCGCCTCGGCCGCAGGCAGATGAGCCCACTGCCCCGCCTCAATACCTGCAGGCCATTCTTCTTAGGTTCCGTCTCATGGTGTTTTAATTTATTTTCACTGTCACGTGCAAAAATCCACAAGGCACCAAGGCTTGGGAGCACCAACATGAAGTCCCACGTGTCCAACAAGCATGGTCCATATGGCATCCACGGCAGACCCAAACTGATCCTAAAGCTCCCAGTTCCACTGCGGGGGCTTTGGCAGCTATGGAAGAACCAAAATAACATGAAGAACATCACAGAGAGTGCAGTGTAGCTTTAGTAAAACAAGAAAGAACAAAATTCCCCCACTGCATGAAGGATTTGGATGTCATCCAAACTTTATATCAAGAAACATATCAAGAAACTGGACAAGTAAGTTAAGAGCAATCACAAACTGGAATATCGCCTTAAAAATCAAACTGCACGGAGCAAGCTGAAACTGAAACAAGATTATATCTTTTAATCTGAAGAGTTGTAAATAAATTGTTCTGGACATATCTAGACAGGGGTTAAAAGGTTTCTTTGAAACATTCAGAACTGTTCACCCATGACACGTTTCCATGGCTCACTTATGGCACCATCACCAGTTTTAGCAGCAATGTCCCCTGCATACTGCAGGATAAATTAGAAATCTAGTGAATTCATTGGTGTGATGCCATTTTTACTGCCATTTCTGTAATCACGTTTCTGTGCATTTTCAGTGGTAGGAAAAAAAAGTTTTAAAAATTGTATCCTAGGGAACAGTCTGCCGTAAGTCAAAATTTTGCAGTTTAGCTCATAGATCTTAATTGGTTTTCATCTAAAATAGGAATTTTATAACTAAAGGACCACAATTTGTTAAATTGAGATTGGCAACGCTGCAGTTCCTTTATGAGAAGGCCTTCCTGTTGTCTCAGAGTTAGCAGCTTCTTTGACAGCAACGTTACATTTCACTCATTTTGCTGTCTTCCATTACTTCATTTTCACTTTGATAGAGCAGAGGCAAAGTATTTCTCCTGTATTTCTCAGATTACAATGAATCTCTCTCTGATATTAAAAAATCATTAGTATGACCCATTTCTTTTCATTAAAGAACATGGATCTTTTTAGCATGTCTTATTATTTCTCCTTTTATTTCCATTTGGTTTGCTTTTTTGTCTAGATCTTTCTGTTTATCTTCCTCATCCATGGTAGATACCCCAGTAAAACTCTAAGGATTGCCTTTCTTCTCTGCTGTTTTGATCTTTCTTTGTAAAATTTTACCTTCAGTTAAATTATCCATGCATTCTTATTTGTAGCTGCACATATTAAAAGGCAAATGTTTCAGAGGGCAGTTTCTCTTTAATATGACCTGAATGAATGAGGTGTCATCCTCCCCATATTCTGCCCTTTACAGGAGTTCAAATGCAAATAAGCCTTACCTCCCTGCACCTGAAGTCAAATAAGTAAAACAGGGAGATCAGGTCCCATCACAGGCAGTCACATGTAACAGCTTCCTTGGGTTGACTCTTTCCCTCTCTTTGTAGTATCCTGAGCACCAGCTGTTTAATTTCCATCAAGCATAGGTGTAGTTTAGTTGTTTGACAAGAGGAGAATATGGTTGAAAGCCTCAAGTGAAGAGTCTTGCAGCCTGTAAAAGCAATTTCCAAAAATGAAACCTAGTCATCATAAACTAAAGCACAAACACATGTAGCAGTTTACAGTACTTTTGGTTTAATCTCAGTTACTCTCTTTCTCCCCTGGACTACAGATCCAGTATAGTTTGCCATTAATTTATTGAATCTGGTTTTGGACAATGCTTCTGTAGTGTAGCTGCACGTCCCGGTACTGTATCCTCTGACCTTTATTTTCCATGTGTTACAAAAGGATAAAAAAATTGAGATTACGCTTGCATAAATTCTAATTTGCACAGTTCACAGCTACTACTTGTGCAGTAATTGCTTTATGCAGCTGTAATCCATAACCTGTGAAGACAGCACATCATCTAAACCCCATTCCAAATAATATTTCTGTGTAGTGTTAGCTGTGAATTTACCCTGTACAGCTGTATCTCTATAAATATAATTACATGTATTAATAGTCACAGAAAGACTGTAAGTGAGCAACTATTTTTATGAAACGCACCACTATGGATAAATTAACTTTTACAGAAATCTTGTTTACTGTATGATATTCTAAAACACTGTCAAATAAAATATATATCCAAAAATATTTTCTTTTTCCAACTATATAGGCTGTGTGTTGTCGACTGAAAAAAAAAAAAAAGCACAGTGTGAGAGTTGTGAGTTAAGTTTTATTTGGGGCAAAATGAGGACTATCGCCCAGGAGACAGCATTTCAGATAGCTCTGAGAAACTGCTCCAAAGAGGTGGGGGGAGAGGTATTATATAAGATTTTAGCAAAGCGGGGGTATGTGCAGTCAGGCACACATTTTCACAGAGGCTTGCTGCTAGTCACGAGGAGCACACGTCCCCATTAATGATTTTACTGCTTTTCTAGATATGAGGAGATGCAAGATTTGGACTCATACAATATTTTCCTGAAAATATCTAACTATCCAAAGACCTGTTCTGCCAGAGCACAGAGTGCTCATTCCTGATCTCCACCCTGGCCTCCATTCAGGGGGTGCTGAAGGTCAGTGACTACAGTGGCTACTGAACTAATCCTTGTAGAGGCAGACGGCAAGTGCCAGTTTTTAGTTGGCAGGGCCCCTCATGGTCATCAATTCAACCATGGTTTGGGAGGCATTTCATGACCATTTCGTCCCATGGTGCTAGGAATGCTCATTCCTAAGTCAGGCGAGGATTTCACTGATAGGCCACTCAGTGTGCTATTACTGGACTAGGCCTTATTAACAGTAGTCAAAAGTCGCTGGACCACCTGTCTTACTAGTCTGTTACAGTCCAGGAAATAAAAATTCCCTCTTGCTGCTTCTTTCCAATCTAGAGTTACACTATTAAAATCACTGTTCTCATATAGAACTATATATGTGGTCAACTGCTTCAAGTCACCTAGTCATCATTTCATCAGAGGTTCAGTCACACGTGATAACGCAGGAAACAATTTTGTAAAACAGGCAATATGCAAATAACATAGCTAGCAGTATTAGTAAGGTCATAAGTAAGAATTTAAGTCGAGAGCTTCCATTAGTCATATCCCCAGGTTGTCTGACTTAGTTTGTTCTGTACCAATCCTTGCCTCCAAGGGAAATCATATACTGGCATTGTCCATAAGGCGCCCAGCCCAATTTCCTCGTGTCACTAGGCTGGTTATCCTTAGTATGGTTTAATTGTACCCAACATAGGGAGCCTTTAAACTTAAATGACCATAGCCTAGTGTTAACCACATAAATCCATCCCATAATTTTGGGAGGTTATATGCTTTGGCTGAAATTTTGCCTGTTGCTCTGATTGAACTTGAGTGACTTTAAAAGAAAATTCATACTTATGGCCAGGGTCAGAGCAGGTAGTATTAATTGCCCAGGTGAGGGGATCCCACCTAGTAATATCAATAGTGTCCTGAACAGAACTATAATTTCTTTCTTTTAGAATAAATTTCCTAAGAGCCAACCAATCAGAGCCTTGGACAGGAGAAGTCCACCAAGGTAACCCAGAAGTATGAGACACAGGTCACAAACCCAACGACTGGATTGAATTTTAAAACAAGCATAGGATCATGCCCATGATAGAAAAACATTTGATTCTTATACAAAGGTCCAAGAAGTCAAGAAAAGACAATAAATGATCTTACGGGTCAGGTGCAGCATCTTAGGCCAGCTGTCTACTTCCAATGTTGTCTTCTTCTCATCCTGGTATGAGTGTAGTTTCTCCTCTGTTTGAGCGTTGTTTTAAGGTGATTTTGACATCAGCAGCCCTCTCTATAGACCAGTCCAGTGCAGGGGCCCTTTCTATGTGAAAATATTAATCCAAGAGTCAATTCCCTTCAGTTTTGCTGTGCATGAGCTAGTGGAGAGTACCTGATAAGGGTCTTTCCATCTAGGTTGGAGAAGATCCTTTAAAAGATGTCTTTTTCCAGTACACATAATGACCTGGTTACAGGTCTTGGGACATCTGATCTTCATCCAAAGATAGATGATATAAGCTTCAGAAACAGACTTAAGAGTGTCCTATTAAAGACTCAGTTAAATTTAATATTAACATTAATAACAGCAAGGAATTAATAACAGCAAGGAACTATCTGAGAAGTCAGTCTTAGGCAGTAAATGCAGACCTCAACAAAACTAGAATTTAATATTCACTGAAACATAACTTTTTCTAAAATTACCCTTATTTCTACCAAATATAGCCAAATTAAGACCAATTTGTAAAGTAAGTCTAGTCTCAATAAACTTGGCCTGATGATTTATATAAATGTAATTGATCATATAGGCTTTTCTTTTTTAAAAAAAATGGCTTTGCTAGAACTTTTATAAGGAGTCTCAGATTGAACTCTTTTTTTTTTACATCTTTATTGGAGTATAATTGCTTTACAATGGTGTGTTAGTTTCTGCTTTATAACAAAGTGAATCAGTTATACATATACGTATGTTCCCATATCTCTTCCCTCTTGCGTCTCCCTCCCTCCCACCCTCCTTATCCCACCCCTCTAGGTGGTCACAAAGCACCGAGCTGATCTCCCTATGCTATGCGGCTGCTTCCCACTAGCAATTTTACGTTTGGTAGTGTATATATGTCCATGCCACTCTCTCGCTTATGTCAGATTGAACTTTTAAAAGGCCTCTCAGGGCTAGGAAAGTCATGCCCAAGGCTTGTCACAGACATTGTCTTACAGATTTAGGTGAATTCTTCCTTTTTCACGGTCCCCAAATACCTTCAGATTCCTGCACCTGTTAGGAGTTGTCCTTCCTAATTTATCTGATAAAGCTACTGGGAACCTATGCATTTCCGATCTCTGGAGGGATCAGATAGAGAGGCAAGATAAATGTTTCAATTCTGGTTACAAAGGTATAATTAACCAAATTGCTATAAGTCATAATTAGCTTGAGGAGAAGGGTTTCCTTATATCTGGAAAACACAGATTAAAACCAATTATTTCTCAGACAGAAACCATAAAAATTATAGCCATAGTCACCAGTTCACTCAGTCCTACTGTTAACAGTTTTATGAAGCCATCAGGTTTCCCATTAGAATTCTTTAATTTCTTACCCAGTTCAGTGTTACGGTCTGAAAGTCAGAAACCTGTATTTGTCAAAAAGTCCTTTCTGGAAATCTTCTTGAAGAGGAAGCATTTTTGTAAAAGCATCAGAGTGAAACCATATCTGTCTATAATGACAAAAGATTTAAGGCACCTTTAAAATATGATTACAATGCAATTGACAAACTTGGTTACTGCTGTGACATACAACACTTTAATAACTAGAATTATGACTGAAAATTTTACCAGGAGATACCAGATTTTCAAGAATTCCATATAATTTCTAGAACACCTATATTAATAACATTTTCCCATTAATATAACCTAAGAAGACTTATTACTCATTTGACAATACTTCCCATGTAATTTAATCTACCAAATGAACCTAATTAGTTTGATATCTCTCTTTGGGGTGTTTCAGGGACCCTTGGAAGCATTTCCAAGTTAGCTAGAGGTTAAAGGAACTTCATTAGGATTTGATTTGGGAAGTTTTGTAAAAAAAAAAAAAAAAAAAAAAATCAAAAAGCTTTAAAACACTTGGTCACATAGGATCATAGGTCACTGTGGAACAATATTCACTTAACCAAAGTGGCAGTAAAAGATTTCAAAGGCAAATACAGATCAGATCACTTAAAAGGTAAAGAAACTTAAAATCTGTTATCAAAGGCAGCTCAACATTTTAAGAAAACTTTTCTCCTAACAGAGATAAAAACCAAATTCAAGTTTTGCACCAGCTTACTTTTAAAATTCATTTACTCCACTAAATTTATTCTAAACTTAGCCAACCCTGACCATGCACAAAACTCTTTTGTCGGCAGTGCTAATTTGAAGGAAATAATTACTGGAAGTTGACTTGAGTTTTAAAAACTGCAGTTCTCACAGATTTTTCAAAGGATAAGTTTAATGCCCCAAACAGGACTTCTTTGAAACTTGACTTTAAATACAGTGAAATTGCCTCACCCAAGTAAACTGAGAGTTTTCTTGTATACAATCTAGTTGGTATTTGCCTGTCAGCTGACTACGTCATTTATGAATTGGCAGTATGTTTCTGTTGCTTGCTACACTGATTGATACTGAGCCTTTTTTTCAAAAAGGATTTAAGGTATCAATTACCAGTAAATTCCATCACATGTTTTCCTTTTAATTCTGAAATTTTGTCATGCAAAATCCCAAGTTTATGCAGAAGCCAACATTTAGTGAAAAGCAGTGTAAAAGTCCAAAATGAATGGCCAAGAAAACCGTCTGCAACATATTACAATACCTACACTAGGGAGAAGAGAGAGTTCTATGAAGTAATAGTAATAGGATGATGACAACCCTGCCATCAAGGAGATTACAACCCAAAGAAACAGTTCTCAACCCTAGTGCTGTCAAGACTTCCCACAGATGTCAACAGGAGACCAAAAATTCCCAAGCTATTTTTTACTCCAATATAATTTTTTAAAAATTAAATCTCCAAAAAAAAATTAATTAAATCTATGTATCACTCTTAGAAAAGGGAAGAAGCTGATACAAAGTGTGAAATCAAGCACAAAAGTTGAGATATTTACAATAAATATATGTCGTTCTTTATGAACTAATCTGAGAATGGCCAAGTGCAAGCTGAAAAAGCAAAAGACACATAAAACAATGTAGTTAACAAAATGAGGTGTAAATATTAATTTTGCAAATCTGATTACTATTCTAAAAGAAAAGTCATTAGGGCATCAAAAAGACCACAAGTCAGAGACCAAAGAGATTAGGGCAGGGGCAGAGCAGCACTAGGGCCTGGCAAGTGAGGAGCCTGGCCTGGAAGGACATGGGTCTCACCATGAATCACATGTTTCCAAGGTCAGGCCGGAAAATAAAAAGCGAAGAGAGCCAGGTGGAGACTGGGCGGAGCAACAAGCACATCCCTCCTCTGAAGCTGTCATTTTGTCAAGTCCAAGTCCACTGTGGAACTTTCAGTTTCCCAAGTGAGGAAAAAAAAAAAAACAAGAAAAAAAGAAGAAATCAGCTTTTTATATGAAATTTGATGTTTTTTTTTAAAGTCTGACCGGTTTAATTCACATTTTTAAGAAACACTGAACAGGAAGACAAGACACTACCACAACAAGCCATCTGCAGACAGAGTCTGGCCCACAGCCCACCAATTTGCAGCCTCTGTCTTGGAACAACAGCCAGGCTTTCAGCAGAGAATCCCTCGCTTTCATCAGGATCTGATTCACCTTCCAAGCAGTGCATCATACACACCCCAGAAACTGTGAAGTGTGTGGCTCCTGAGGTCTGTACGTGCCTAGAAGAGCTTCGAATGTGTACTCCAAGCGTCAGGCACTCGACCAGAAACCTGATTGATGTTCCTGCAGTAGAGGTGCGTTTGCTGTGAAGCTGAAGAAACAAGCTTGCATAAGCCCTAAAGCTTACTTGAAATTTTACATTTTCTTTCATATTGAGTCTCCCCCCAAGCTTGGGGATCCCCAAAGATGAATCTGCCCCTGCCCTACTGATACTATTTTTTAGGCCAAACTCACAGCGAAATCGAGTGACCTAATCGCTGAAGAATTTGGATTTAATAGAGATTTCTTTTTCAGCTAACCATAGTGCCAGACACGATGCCTATAAAATCACCAGAGTGCTTTCCAAGTCTTAAACTAGTAAGAGCACTATGTCTAATGACAGTGCGTGATTCTGCATCATGTCTAGTTTATTTAGGGCACCAATTAAATGTGTAGAGATGATTATGATTATTGGTGGTAATAGCAGCTGTAGTTTGTAAACATTTGGGTATAAAAAATGGAGCAACAACCTAGAATTACACTGACCTCTTCCTGGGCATTTGGCGGCATATCACCCAGGCAGCCCAGTGATCAGGCACTCCAGAAAAGTTGAAGTCTGTCCCACCACCCTGGGGAGGGTAACTGGCAACCACAAATGAGAGCCGTATCTGTTTTAAAAGGTTCTCAGAGTTTTCTGTGATCTTTTCTTCTGATAAAACTGCCTCTTGGAGAGTGATTTCACCTGGAAGAACCTGGGAATCCTGTGAAGCAACAGAGTGACCTTTCGTCATTGAGTGGAAGGTAAATTTTCTAAAACCCTAACAAGGTGTATCCATGTGAAAGGAAATGCAACCTCCGCTATGATTTCTTCCTAGGTCAACTGCCTTCACACTGAGGAACACACGTTCCTGGGGCAGAGAGTCTTTCTAGGAGATACACAGGCACGGATGGCTTAAATGGAATCTATTTCCAGAACTTCAACTTCCATTTTTACGCATTTCAAACCTACGGACTGCCAATTGCCCATTCCCAGTTGCCCTACACAAGGACCCTTCGCATTATGGAAGAAAGGCGGACCTATCACCTAACCTAAATTTTACTCTGGTTCATCAACCTGAAGTGTAAAACCTCTCGGGCATTAAACAAAGTGACAACTGGAGAATGCAGCCCTCCTGAGGGACAGTCAGGAGAGCAAACTACAGAGTATCAGTAAGAATTGATGTAGGCAATGCCTTCCTTCAATCCAAGAGCCCTGGTAGGGCTCCTATCTATCTAAAAATTACCACCCACGTTTACCTGAATTTTAAAATAAAGTCAGACTTTTTCTGATTGAATTTGTGGTTTGGCTATTTGTCTGGCTTGACCACAAAGACTGGCTTTGCCAGTTAGATTATATGGCAGTTATTTTCCATTAAGCTGAATGAGTTAAATCTACAACTATAAGGTTTAAATAAAATATACTTAAAGCATATATAAAAGAGAAAATACATCCTTTACAATATTTAAATTTGTGATAAGAATGTGGATGTCAACTTAAAAATGAAATCAGACCTAGAGTTTTATAAGATTATTTTACGGGCTACGTGAAGCAAAAGGAGCACTCACTTGGGCAAACCTACTTAACTCAGCTTAATAAAAGTTTTTAAATAGTGTTGAGTACCTACTATATATAAAACATTACAGGTGAACAGAACACAGCCCCTATTCTCAAGTTAGGCGATCAAGACGGAAAGCAGCAAGCATGACGTGGTGATGCTGGACTCTGTAGGATGCAGAAATGGTTGGAGGCAGTTAGAAGTCACCCTGGATAAGGGGCATTTCAGTTGGGTTTTGAAGGATGGGTAGAATTTCAAAAGGTAGAGGAGGTGTAAGGGATAGAACAGCATGAGGGAAGTCAGAGTTCAGAAACTTGGAAGTAGGTTAGAGAAACAGTGAATTGTTTATTTTGACTGACACTGTGACACACACACACACACAGAGAGAGAGAGAGAGAGAGAGAGAGAGAGAGTAGGATAAACACAGGTAGGGTCAAGCAGATCACAAATGCTGTTAGGGAGCAGTTGAGAGTCATTAGAGGTTTCTGAGCAAAGAAGATGAACTCAGCCCTGTGCTCTGGGAGGAAGCCCTGGCAGTCCTGTCCAGGTACAGTGGAGGTAGGAGACACTCTGGCAGGTACTGACATCCTCCAGGCGAGAGATAAGGAGACGTGAGCACCTGTCATGGTGCCAAGAACTAGTCAGGGACTCTGACTTGAGCACAGGGTAAATATTTGACACATACACATTTTTAAATTGTTGTTCTTATTAACTGAGGGACATAAAAACATCTGCGGTGGTGCTCTGGAATTCTCACTCAACAGATATTTATCAGGTGTCAGCCATGTGCCAGGCAGTGTGCAGAGGGCTGAGACTATAATCTTAAACTAGACAGGCACTACCCACCCCACAGAGACCGCACGCCTTCCCCAGTTCGCCAAGGACGGTCCTGGCTTTAAACCTGCGAGTGGGCATCCCAACAAACCCCTCAGTCCCGGGCAAACCGGGATGGTTCAGCCACCCTAGAGGAAGGGGCACATGGGCCAAGGTGGCAAATCTGAGGCCCGACAGCAGCCAGTCACCTGAGGGCAGAGGATTTGGAGAACTTGCCTGCAGGAGGCTGGAGAGCTGCGGGGTCAAGATCTCACAGGGCCTAACTGGCCTTGGCCAGCACTTGGGCCTCCATGCAACAGTCAGCAGGAGGCCACTGGTAGGTATTCATTGGGCAGGACGACCTGATGTGATGTGGGTTCCCATACAGAACACGGGGCTAGAGGGGAGACCACCTTTATGCTCCCTGCTCCCTGCCTCTCTCCCTTCTTCTCCATCCTCTGATGGAGGCTGCAGCCCCCACAGGCTGCCGACACTGAGCTCAGCCTCTCCCAGCTCCTGTCTCAGGCAGCCACCAGCCTTTCCGGGAGGACTCAGGAGGCCCTGCTGGTGTGTTTCAACTCTTCGAAGAGCTTTCCTGGGCAGGTATCTAATCAGTAAACAGGCTCACAACTCTTATAGATTCTCTGCTCTTTTCTCCATCATCAAGATGTGGATTGAAGATTCATCTTGTGTTTCTACAATTAACCCACACGGTGCCTGACATATAACAGGCACTCAGTGAAATACTTGCTGAAGGTTGGATAATTTTTTTAAAAACCGGCCTTATGTCTAAATCCAATACAGTTTCCCTTGAATAAAAATGGCTTTCAACATGGTAAGTGGCCCTGACTAGTCAGAGTAAACACTTTGCAATTTTTCTCATTTGCTGCTATTTTTACAAAATTCTGAAAGAAGGGCTTGATGTTTTTATTTGAACACCACCTGGAATGAAGGCTAGCTTCTGCAACTCAACCAGGTGCTTTACCCAAAATAAACCCAGTAACTGTTTCCCCTTGACTTTCTCCTGTTCTTGCTCAGGCCCAGCTCTGTCCCAAAGCCAGCAGGCCTTGAGAAGACCCAGCTCTGGCTCTTATTTCATGAAGGTAAGGTCAGGACCAGAGAGCAACAGAGACAGGGCAAGCCTTCTTGTTCCAGCCTTCCTTGCTCAGAACCCAGGGAGAGACTTTCCACTAGCATCCTTAGCTGAGTTCTAGCACACTGGGTCCAGCAGGTCAGGGTCCCTCAGATGAACTTGACCACCCCACTGTAAATGTTTGCTGGAAGCAGGCAAAAGGCCCCTGCGGGTTTTGGCCTTGGACTAGTCCAGACTCCCTCTGCCTCTCTGCTCCAACCGCAACTCTTCCCAATACCACACACACACACACAAAGACACCTGTATCCCATCTGACTCCCTGCCCAGGCTCCTGTCACTCGTGTCAAGCAGCCTTTGAGTGACCACACTTTGGGCTCGACTCCTCCAGCCAACCTCAGCCCTGCAGCCTGTACCAGGGCCCTGATACTCACCTGCTGGCCCCTTGCTTAAGGGACTCTACCTGAACTCCCTCAGGATCAAAGACCCTCATGGTCTGCTCTCCACTAACCTTCCTGCCAGATGAAGCAGATCATTCACAACCCACCCCCAAACATTTTCACTCTGTTTTTAATCAAAGTCAACAAATACAAAACCCAGATTTTTTTTTTTTCTTAACCATTGTTATTATCAAGGAGCTAATGGTGTAAGGCCTTGGTAGGTCTTAAAATATAGTTAGGTATAGATATCTTAAAAAACGAAGGAGTTATCTGGAACAGGCACCCACATTAAAGGGGTGGAGCAGCCAGCAATGATTTTGTCCTAAATTATTCTGCCAAGACACTTTCAAACAGAAGCAGTGAATCGTCTGAACCACTCCCAGAAGACTGGCTGCTGTAACAAATAAATCCACTCCCACCTCCAAAGGCTTATTTCTCACTCACGTAACAGACCAGGAGTTGCTGGTTGAAGACAGAGATTTTCCTTATTTAGTGATTCAGACATGTTCCTTTCATTCTATGGCTCCACCATCCCCTAGAGCCTTGCTTGCTTCTGAAAGAGGGTCTGAGCACAAACAGCACCACTATCCCCTGGAAGCTTGTTAGAAATGCAAGATCTCAGACCCTGCCCTGGACCTACTGTACCAGCCCGGTGTTTTAAGAAGATCTCCAGATATGGGTGACACCAACACACACAGAATTTTGAGAAGTCCTGCCCTAGAACCTCAGAGCCCTCTACATCCAGAGAGCCAAAGGGGAAAGAGGGCTTCAGTGAGCATTCCATTGAAGTCCCAGCCTACAAATGGCAGGTCACTCCCATTCCTATTCCACTGGTCAGAACTAGTCACATGGGCACACTTGACACAAAGGACTCTGGGAAATGCAGTTCCTGACTGGACAGCTGTCTGGCAGCTCCCACTCCACACTATGAAATTGGGAGGACAGATTTTGGTGGACAAACAGACATTTCTGACTCAGAGTATTTTTTGTATTTTTTTCCATGAGAAGAAAGAATATTTCCTCCTCTCTCCTAGAAACAGTTTTAGTATAAGGTGACATGGGAATTTTTCCAACTTTTTTTTAAGGTCTTTTTGTGGATTTTTTCCAGATTTATTGAGAAATAACCAACAAATAAAACTGTATATATTTAAAGTGTAAAACATGATGATTTGATATACATACACATTGTGAAATGATTCAAGTTAATGAACACATCCATCACCTCACACTGTTAACTTGTGTGTGTGTGTGTGTGTGTGTGTGTGTGTGTGTGTGTGTGTGGTGAGAACGCTTAAGATCTACTTCCAGCAAATTTCAGGTATACAATTCTATATTATTAACTGCAGTCACCATGCAGCTTCCGTTGTGAAGGTGGTCCAGCCTGGGGCTAAATGGATCAATGTATTGGACAAGAAGATGTTCCCATGAACCATCATATCCATGAGAGGCTGTGACCACATGTGGTTTCCATCAGTGCTGCTTCCCTCCTCACCCTTAACACAAAGGGCATCCCTGAATGACCTTATCTTCTGAACAAATCTGAGGCATCCAAACAGGGATCAGCAAACTTCTTCTGTCAAGTGTCAGATAATAAATATTTTGAGCTATGCTGGCCATTCTGTGTCTGATGCAATCACTCAGCTGTCGTTCTAGCATGAAAGCAGCATAGACAAAATGTAAATTAATTCACACTATACAATATGGGAGAACTAATTTATTTTACAAACCTTTACTGAGTATTTATTAAGCTACTTAATGCCTCTGGTCCAGTCAAAATGTAAACTCTGTGAGGGCAGGAATGATTTCTATCTTCTTCCTTACTATAACCCTTGAACATATCACCATAACTGGCACATATAAATGAACGACAGAATAATTAAATGAATGTCACACATGGGGAAATTTGCAGATTGGAGGAGGTGTAGCAAATGCTCTGAGGTCCATCCTGGCCAAGGGGCCCACACAGGGTGGCCATGTAGCACAGGATAAGCATAAGACAAGAGAAAGTCATCAGCAAGGTCATTAATCTTTGGCAACCTGACCCAGAAGGGCCATCACAGAACACGAAAGCCTGAGGCTTTCACCTTCTTGTCCAATACATCAGACCATTTAGCACCAGAATGAACCACCTTCACAAAGGAAGCTGCACTGGTGACTATAGTAGATAACACTGTATTATATACTTGAAATTTGCTGGGAGGAGATCTTAAGCATCTTTACCATGCACACCTCCTTAGTGAGCAGGTGACCAAAGGGCAAAGAAACACTGCTTTGACGGCAAATACCAGGCCCTACCCCAGGCCATGCGCGATATGTGTGTGCAAAGGAGAAACAAGCAGGGCTCTATTAACAGAGTACTTGTCATGGTGAGAGTCTCAAAATCGAATATGTAGGCCCTGGACAAGAGCAGAAGTCACACTAAAGGGACTGCAAAGAGGAGAAAACTTGGTCAAGGTCAGGAGCAGTAACAAATAATGAGGAAATTAGCATTTAATTACCATAAGCTGTGTGCCCAGCACTTTTACATAACTGTTTAGCTTTATCCTCACAGCAACCTCGTACGTTCATAATATTCTCCCCACTCCTCCAAAATTGCTTCTGTTTGGGTGACACTATCTCATTCCAAGACTTACTGTAAAGCTACACAGAGCACCTCAACTCCACATAATTAACATTTGGGACTAGATAATTCTTTGTTGTGGGAGGTTGTCCTGTGCATTCGTTATAGGATGTCTAGTAACATCCCTGACCTCCACCCACCAATTATGATAATCAAAATGTCTCCCTACGTTGCCAGGTACCCTGGGGTGGGGGGGAGGGGGCAGAGGCAGAACTGACCCCAGGGCAGAAGTTTGGAGCTACAGTAATCAAGACTGTGAGGTGCTGGCAAATGGCAGACACAGGTCAATGCAACAGAAAAGGGCCCATAAACACATCCAGACACAAACCTCCATGGCAATTCACAGGAGACAGAACAGTCTTTTCAACGGATATATATATATATGTACCTTGATGCATGCCTCACACTGTGTATAAAATTTAACTCAAAATGGATCATAGACCAAAATGTGAAACCTAAAAATTTGATAATTGGGCTCAAGTAAAAATCGAAAATGTCTGCTATTCAAAAGACACTGTTAAAAAAAAATGGGAAAAAAGAGTCATAGACTGGTAGAAAATATCTGCAAAACAAAAATTTGATAAAGGAGTTGTATCCTAAATATATATATTTTTAAATTCTGAAAATTCAGTAATAAAAGAATCAATTTATAAAAGGCATGAAATATTTATAAAGACATTTCATCAAAGAAGATATACAGAAGGAGAATAATTACATTAAAAAAGATGCCCAACATTATTAGTCACTAGGGAAATTCTAATTACAACCGCAAGGAGGTATCACTACACACCTACTAAAATGACTAAAATTTTAAAAGTGACATGCGTTGATAGTGGGAATGCAAAACGATGCAACCACGTTGGAAAACAGTTTGGCAATTTCTTCTATGGGTAAAATACGCTTGCCATATGACCCCGCAATCCTGCTCTGAGGTACCTAGCCAAGTGAAATGCAAACCTATGTTCACACAAAAACCTGTACGTGAATTTTTATAGTGACTCTATTTCTTATTCATCTAAAACTGGAAACATGCACACAATGAACCACTACTCAGCAATAAAGAAGACCAGGGAATTCCCTGGGCCGTCCGTCCAGTGGTTAGGACTCTGCGCTTCCACTGCAGGGGGCACGGGTTTGATCCCTGGTCGGGAAACTAAGATCCCGCATGCTGTGCGGTGTGGCCAAAAAAAACCACCAAACTACCGTCACACATGGTAACACAGATGAATGTCAAATACGCTATGCCAGGTGGAGGGATCCAGGCTCAAAAGGCTACACAATGTATAGTTTCATTTGTATGATGCTCTATAGCCATAACTCTGAAGACAGAAAACTAAAAGGCCAGGAAAGAGGACAGTGGTGGCCAGAGGCTGTGGAGAGGGGAGGTGCTGACCACAAAGGGGCCCAAGTGAACTCTGTGAGTGGTGAAACTCGTCTGTATCTTGACCGTGGTGACAGTCACACGACTCCATGTGTTTGTCAAAACTCACAGAACTACGTGGTCGGCTGTCCTTTTCCTCAGGTTCCACATCCGTGAATTCAACCAACCTCGGATTCGGTGGGGGTCGGCGGGGGGAGGGGCGGAGGGACTGAGAAAGTTCCAGAAAACAAAACTTGAATTTGCAGCATCCCAGCAACTACTTACATAGCATTTACACTACATTTACAACTATTTACATAGCATTTCATTGTATTAGGTACTATAAGATATCTAGAGGTGGTTTAAAGTATATGAGAGGATTTGCATAGGTTATATACTAAGGGACTGGAGCATCCCTGAATTTTGTTCTCTGCAGGGGTGGCGTCCCTGCAGATCCTCAAAAGGATGAATTTTACTGAATGTGAATTGTACTTCAAAAAACTATATATGAATAGGATTTCTGTTTAGACTTTGAGAAAGAAAATTAATCACTTATGAACCTGAATACAATTCTACGACTGTAATTAAATAAAACAAGTCAGACTCTGTCACTCTCCCGCTTATGCTCAGCATCCATCGCCCTCCCTCCACATACCTACCTGACCTCACCTCCTTCCTCTCCACCTTCCTTTCACTCCAGCTACACTGGCTCCCTGTTCTTCCTGAAACACCTTCTCTTTCCTTTGCTCACAATGCTCTTCCTCTTGATATCTGCATGGCTTCCTCCCTCAATTCCCTCAAGGCCTTTGCTCACTTTATCAGAGAGCTCTTTCCTGATCTCTCCCTCTCTCTCTCTCAATATTCCTCTCCACCTTACTCTGCTTTGTCTCCATAGCACTTCTCATGCATTTATTTTTTGTTTATATGCGCTAGAATGTAAGCTTCATCTTTATCTGCTTTCATCACTTTGGTCTCCTAGAACAGTTCCTGAAACACAGTAAGTGCTCCATCATATTTGTTTTTTTGTTTTTGTTTCTTGAAAGAAGCTTTTTTTTGAGGTATAATTGACAGATAGTATTATATTAGTTTCAGGTGTCATAAATACTTGCTAAATGAATGAATAAATAAATGACTGGATATACTGATGGGTGCAGGGATGGAAAGACAGAGAGAGGGAGGGAGGGAGGGAGGGAGAGAGAGAGGGAGAGAGGGAGGGAGGGAGGGAGGGAGGGAGGGGTAGATTAGACGGGGCAGTTGACTGGATATCCTCTCAGAGAATTTGAATACAAAACATGAAATGAGAATGAGCAGCAATGGTAACAGTAAAAACTGAGACAAGAGCAGCTGTTTCACAAAAGGATTAAGCACTAAACTAGGAGTCAAAGACACTTGCTTATTTGAAACACTGTTGAGTCTGTCAGCATAGCCGCTAAACGTATGTCTGATTAATAACTGTATCACAGTCTTCTAACCAGCAACACCCTTCTCTCTGAGGCCTAGCTCCGTCTTCCTTACTTCCCTGAGTATCCCTACAATAAACCTCCTTTGACAAAGGTACGCCACACATGTCACTCACTCTTCCTTGGAACCTCAAAGACCCTAACCACCACTCATCCCCATACTCTTTCTGGTGGACTCAGACATGCATGGTTTCCCCTGCTCAGGAAAACAGTGCCCCCTGCAGGTCTCCATCGGCAGCAGTCAGAAGAGACTTGATCACGCAGAGTAAAGCCACTCTACTGCCAGCTCAATGCAGTGTGACAACAGAACTCTGTGTCCCCAGGAGACCCCTACACCTCCCTTCTTGCAGCATCAGGACAACTTGCCCCAACTCATCCTGTCCCTTAACCTTGCTTTGGTTGGGCATCCTTTAACCCTCAAACTCTTACCCACCCCTTTCTGACACTCCTTTTTCTGACCCCCTTCCCCGAAACCCTTCCACGGAGCTCTCTGAAAATCATCAGCAAAATCTCCACAACCTTAATTTCTTCTCTGAACTTTCCTGCATCTTTGTGCTCTCACTGGAACCTAGCTTCCCCTTGGGACACTGCTTTCCCTGCAGGCTCTCAAGTGGTGGCTGTTTTCTCTCCTACTTCTCTTGTTCCATGAG